CTAAAAAAACTCTTCCTAAAAGTGAATAAAGCTAAGATAGGGCACCTCCGGCACTATCCACATTAACAGGCTTATCCTGAAGGGATCCACGGTACTATTCGTAAAATCTAGCTTCAGAAGTGGATAAAACTCATGCTGAAAACAAATGAAACCAAGATACCGTATCACGATACAGTTCACGTAAGCTAGCGTGAGAAGTGATCCAATCTCATCCTGAAAGTAAGTAGACAAGCAGCAACTACACAACCCGAATCCCAGCATAAACCGCGCTACATTTTCTTCACGAAAAACTTTAATTCCTAGCAAAGCTAGTTCATTTTTTCCATTACAGTATTGTTTGTAGCCGAGAGATATGCCAACGCTGGATCCTCGATTATATGCAAATAGTTGTGGTTGAGGAATCGAGCCATCTGAAAACATTAACACGTACATTCTGCTCTAAAAAAATGTGCGTTTTTTGCACATCCAAGCTCCGAGTTGTCGTTTCTTTGCATGTTTCGGCTAAAAAAATACTTTTTTTTTTCTCATATCCGGCTCAAAAAAAAAACCAAAAGACCGTGTTTCAAGTTTCTTCCCACATTCTGACTCGAAAAAACTGCAGCTTTTTTACATGCTTTGGCTTAATAATTTATAAAATTGCAAGTTTTTTTCCCCCAAATCCTGATCCAGTGCGTTTCCTTCACGTTTTGGCCCCAAAAATTTCGTTTCTTCGCATGTTTCGTTTCAGAAATCTTCGTTTTTCGCAGGTCTGGCCTATATCTTTTTTTTAAGTTTCTGCTCAAAAACGCTATTTTTTAAAAGTGCTCCAACTCAAAACAAAAGACTGCTTTTTGTTCATTCATTCATTTTGACCGAAAAAACTCATCTTTTCTCGTACGTCCCAATCGAAAACTGCACTTTTTCATATGCTTTGACCCAAAGTTATGAACTTTTCATGCGTACCAATTCAAAAACTTTTCCACATCTTCATGGAAGACCTTAAGTACACTGTACCTGCATGAGCTGCAATGAAATATTAGTGAAATGACAAGCGAAAAGGAGCATATTTCGTGGCTCCACTCTCCAGGCAAATCGCATAAAAGCTCCCGAGTAGATACATAGTGCTGTCGTCATTGGACCTTAAATGTACAAACCTAAGTGAGGGTGAGAAGGAAAAAAAAACTGAAATCTGAAGAAAAACTTATAAAAATTGAAAAAAAAATCAAAATTAAATAGAAATTTTCAAAAGAATAAATAAAAATCGGCGAAACAAAGATTACAAATGGAAGGACAAAAATACCAGAAATGAGATCCGGGTTTTTCCTGAGATCAGCGAGTGCTGCAATCGGGATACCCCAGTTAGCCACCGGGCCCCAGAAATGTGTTGAACAAAAATAGCTAAGCCATTCACGTTTTGATGAACGTGAGAAACTTTTCAGCAATGCGTTCATAATATCCTGAAAAAATCCCGTAAACTGTTAAAATATACGTTAAGCTGTCAAAACTGCGCGTCGTAAACGTCGTTGTTGCGATTACATACAACGCATACAATACAATACAAAAGCGGTAACTTTCTGCGCATAAAAAAATGACTTATAAAACATGGAAAAACACAAGGAAGGGAGAGGTACTGTAGTAATTTTGGTAATGGTAAGAAATGTATACGACTTAATGAACCGAAACGTTTGATATCATAATAATAATTTTAAAATAATTTCACTAATTTTACAAATTTATTAATTCATGTTTCCCAATTTTCCCTTCAATTCTCTTTCTTATTTTAATATTTAAGGTTAAACAAAAAAAGGAAAAAATATAAGAAAGAATGATGAAAAACATGAAAAGAATTATTAAAGTAGATAAGAAGCGTTTCGGTCCATTAAGTCGTATACATTTCTTACCGCTACCACAATTGGATCTCGTCAGTACGATGATTGTGATAATATACCTTTCTATTTCAAATTTTTGGAACAAATGCTAGCTGGTCCAAATGGTACGATTTCAGAGGAAAAATAGACTTTGAAAAAAAAGAGGTACTTTGGCAAGGCTTTAGCAAGTTGGAAATTCAACTATACATGTTGAGCATCATTATCTCATCTCCAAGCATTGAAAACTTATAGGCCACGTTTAGTTACCTTGTCGCCTGGGAGC